CAATGAATAGTGGGATTGACTGTCACATTATAACGCCCCCACGGCTGAAAGGGCAAGCATGTTTGGTGTGACGAGGATTCGAACCTGCGATCCTCAGATTGCGAGTCGAGCACCATAACCACCTGGCCATGCCAAGCCCGCTATAAAGTTTAACTTTACCTAGAAATCTGATTACAATGGTTTCTTTAGACCTATAGTTTTCGACACCATATTTAAATTACATTCTGATTATGTACTGCATTACATTAAAAATTTAATTAACCCTTTCGAGACGGGTCACAAAGACCATTTCATCTCCTTTGTTGACTCCCATTCAAAATTTTATTGAACTACTATTTCATGAATATATGTCAATAACTATTCAGAGTCCGAGTGCAAATAACGAATTTTTTTTATTAGAAATATTAAAATAAATAAAATTTAAGTCTTTTATTTTTCTAAAACTACACACTTTTAGGAACATTCTTCTCAAATTTTAAATAATTTCATCCACTAGTTTCATTTTTGGAATAAAATATGACAAGAGTGACATTACCTTGTAAAACATTTAGAGTCCAGCAGCCAGAGGGTTAACCTAGTTTCTACATCCTCTCCATTAACTCATTTGCAAAGGGTTTGGTCAATTCAGCCATGATCTTGACCACAAATTAACGTTTAGAATTTCCAAACTTAAACTTAAAATATGTTTTGTATACCTTTACAAAATTTTGTAAGCTTTCAGTAAACACTGTCTTTTATAGACAAAAAAAATATCAGAATTTTTAATGAAGTATGTTTACGAAAAATTTCTATATGAATATATGGAGACAAAGTGTTGACTGCTTCAACTGCAAAATGATTTTCATTTTAAGATTAAAAATACTTTTCTTCATCTGAAATTTCATTTGTGTAATCTCTAAAACCTCATAAATAAATTTCGAACTTTTTTTCAATAAAATCAAATTTTATCTGTTATTTTCTCCACCCTAAATCTATGCAGAGTCGGTCAATTTAACCAACTTCATAACCATCATAAAAAAATAAAAATTAAACCTAAATTATCTTGTTTTTCTTTATAGAATGACTTCAAATTGTAACAGGAAACTAAATTTGTTTTCCTAAATAGCTTAGAGCTCATAACAGTACACATCTGTTTCTACTTAAATTTTCTTGTTTTATTGCCCTTTGAACCATGTTTTAACTAATAATTCCACCACACAACTTGTAAATCACTCGGTGAATGTGTAGCTCAGGTCATCCTATCAAATTATGTAACACACAAGCTACCCATGAATGTACCTTGTAAAAAAATAGTTATTTTTATTTATCTTGCCTAATCTAAACTTAGCTAACCTAATAAGTTTATAATTTTTACGTTTTTAGTTACTTTTATAATAATAAATAAAGAATACACATGAAGAACAAGAAATATAGAACTTACTTGAGTCTTTGTTTTTTTGGCTGTCTACTACTGATGAAACTTAACACTACCTTTTATTTTTTCTTTATAATAATGCTACTAAAAAACTAAATGTTTTATTCATTTAAATAATTCACCTAAGCACATAGAATAATAACACATAAAAAGCAGACAATGTCCTATAACTATCCTAATTTTCCTGGCTCTATAATTATGCGATAAGAGCCCGTACAAATTCAGCTAAGCTCATTGATGTGTTTCTCTGGAAGCAAGATAGACAATTGTCTGTACAGAAAACAATGTAATATTATGTCATTTGATAGATGAAAACCTTGGTTTTCTATTGGTTATAAATACTCTAGTATCGAATGGCAGAAAGAACTATTAGCAATTTCTGAAAGAGAGGATGTGACAGGTGGGCTTGGCAAGAGGGGTCTGGTTGTCTCTTTAATAGCTGTATAACCACATAAGATTGAAGGCTATCAAAATTATGCTGTGCCTGAGCAATAAGAATAACATAAAATGTAGGTTATGTTAAATTTTGTACTTCTTGGAGATGTAATGAATAAATGTTTATGTACTTTCCATGGGAATCAAGCTTGAACTGAAAGTTGACAATTCTCTTTACAGAAAATAATGTAATATGTCATTTGATAGATGAAAACCTTGGCTTTCTATTGGTTTTAGATAATATAGTACTGAATGGCAGAGAGAACTACTGGCAATTTCTGATAGAGAGGATGTGGCATGTGGGTCTGATTTTCTAGCTTATGGCTCCATACAAAAATTAAATTGAAGGCTATAAAAATATGCTTTGCCCAAGTAATAATTATATTAGAATGAGTAATTTAAGTTAAATTCTATACTTTTCAGAGGGGTGGTAAATAAATTAGAGATGAGCAAATATTTAGAAAGCAAATGTCACAATTCTCAAACTAGGGGAAATTGAAGATTTTTTAAACATTTTCTTATAAAATTAAGAACCTAAAACTTAAATAATATGAACATTTGATATATCAACTATGATTTGATGCTAAGTTTATTCATATACCATGATAATAAAGTAGTTTAATTAACTTTTGAATATAACTCTCTAAAAAGTCATGACACATGCTCTTCGACCTGCCCATAGTGAAAGGGTTAACTTTTAACATTTTCAAAGTAATAAGCAAAATAAGTGGAGTTTACTATTACTTTTCCTTGGGAACTGTTTGGTATTCTTATGTACAAAAAAAAGATTATTTATGATTTGTTTGAATAACAAATTATTCTGTTAAAACTTATATATCTGTATACATTGAAAACAAAACATTTTTGCCAAGTTTTGGTCTCTAATCCAAGGTGGATCTCCAAGATCCAATGGTAATCACAGAGTATTAAGACTTACTTAAGAAGTTTTGGGGTAGCAAACTGCAAAATATCATGAATTAATTTAAAAACAGCTCCTGACAGAAAAAATGGGCCAAAGGTTTTGCAAAGTGCTATAACAATGTTTGGTCTGTTTTTATTCTTATCCTCATGTAAGAAATTCACTTCATCATTTTTTCTTCGACTGTAAGCTGCTGACCTTGATAAGCTGAAATAATAATAATTGAAATTAAAATACATAAATACAATAAAAGACAAACTGAGACAAAAAGCACAAAAGCTTAAGAAAGTATCTTATTTTTAATATTATTTTATTGTAATAGTTTCCATTTCTTTTAAAAGGACATACATTTCAAAGACTTTGCAACAACTAAAACTTATACTATCAATTGATTGGTAAAATGAATACAAAAATAGTTTGAGTTAAATGGTTTAAAATATAGTTTTGACCTTAATTGCAAATGCAATTGTGGAAACAAAAAAATAAAATGTTCTACAAATTCTCATATACATACATAAACAACCATTAAGAAATCTTTTCTCCCTGGTGGATTATAGCAATTAAGCATCGAGTTATTGCTAGTTTTTACAAACCCATAAAATTTTTTCTTGGGTACAGAGGCTTGTAAAGCTAACATGTGTCATTTTTAAGGTGTTTGCATTGCTTTTCATAAATGACAAAAAAAAACAGTTAAAACATTATCTAGAAATTAACATCTGAAAGATTTTCAAGTCCTCATGAGAATTTTATTTTTGATATCAGAAAGGCTGCCTTAGAATTGTTGTTCTTTGCTTAGACAAACAAAAAGTTCCATTGAAAATTTAAAAAAATAAAAAGCTGAGACATAGTATGCAAAAAAAAACAAAAAACCCTGAGGCTGAATCAGTAGACAAGAGACTCCAATTCTGATATTTTTCAGAAAAGCACAAAAATCTTCAATTTGTCGTGTAAATAATGCTTAATGTCTGGCTTTATATGAACTACAGATATGCACTATATATATATATATATATATATA